AAAGAGGACTGACTTAATGCCAACATTTGTTGCCAAACACGCCACCTTGGAGCTTGTTCAGCTCCACCACACGGCATTGGAGCATCAGCCTAGCTCTAGATTATATGAATTCAAATTCCTGACGTGGATGGGGCTTGAATCCGCAACACATCAACTCAGAGTCAAGAGCGATACCAACTGAACCAGGCTGACACTTATACAGCCTTTTTTTTTAAAAAAAATTCTTGATCTTGCTGCAATAGCTACTTGGGTTTCTGCTTTATATTTATTGTAGTAGCCTTTGTTCTGGATGAATATACAACATACAACATTAATAACAAATTGCAATTATGTAGTGGCCTTCACGCAGGAAAGTCTCTAAGCAATATGTACGATATATGATTTTTGGAATATGAACATGAGGTAAGGAGCTACCCTTTCCAGATAACCTTTATTTGCTTGCACTGTGCAAAACCAATCTTTCTTGCACTGCTGTTAGCTGAGAGTGGGAACATTACCAACTTGTTCCAGTAGATAAAATCTGTTCTTTAGTGCCAAGAAATGCTACTCTATATCTCTGCCCATTTAAGCTTCACCGCCTAATTTAATCATATTAACTTTAAATTTAATGCAATTTCAAATAAATAGTTCTAGTCTGTAGATTTTAGACGAACTAAAGGAAATCAAAAGTAATAATGAGTTTGTCAGTTGTTCAGTTAAGTTGTTAAATTTAAGTTTTATATCAAAAGAATAAATGCTGGACATATTTATAATTTTCTGGAATTCAAGTGTCAAATGGTTAATAGTTTTGCATACATTACCCGTGATGTAATTTTCTCATGAAGCAATTATAGTATGAAGTTTAACATACCATATATCTTAATTAAAGTTTACCTAAGGTGTACTACAAATCGAATAGCGAAACAAAATAGCTTCATTTAAAGCCGGAATAGTTCAAAAGGTGCATCTTGTATAAATAAATAGTGCAATGAGGTCAAAAAGGAAGAAGGCTGAAACTCCCTGTACTCTCTGCTTTAAATTACGGTGTGTAATCTAAAGATTGCAAGGCTGACACTTTAGTTGCTCAGTCACAGCAGCTTGTGTATTTGCTCAATCGCCACACAGCTCACAACTAGGTGTGGTGAACGTCCTTTGATAAGTACCTGCCTGGACTGCGGAAGTACTTAGGGAAAGTTTATAAAAGAGAAATATGAAACCAGTGCTGTGGGTTTTCTTACATCAGTCTAAGGCAGGAAACCAGCATTTCAACTGAAACTTGGGTTTGGATCGAGGAGCAAATGACTGACTAGCTGTACGCTCAAAGCTGGATTTTCAACTGTTATTCACTGTGTGAGGAGCTTCTCCAGTTTTCAGGCCTGTGTTTCTCCAACCTGCAGCTCCAGTTAGTATGTACTGTGACTAATTTTGTAAATCCTGGGTGGAGAGCTCTTTATCTTATTCCCAACTCTACTGAAACCTGACCTTTCCTTTGATGGTTTTGGAAAGACTGCGAAGTGAGTTAGATTGTAGAGCAAGTTCGTGAAAGATACCTTCAGCGGTTTATCCTTTTTCCTTCTAACATTCCTGGACTCGGATTCAAAACGGTTCTGAGCTTTACATCACAAATATTTGCTTTCTGTTAGTTAACAGCACACCGAAAAGTTCTTTTGTTTTTTTGTTATTTTGTGAAGGAGACGGGGAGGTGGGTGGGAGTTAGCGTAAATATACTAAACTGCTTTCAGTATTCAGAGATTTGAGGTGGAAATAATAAGAACTAGCAGATTTTAAACTTGCAAGTGTTCTTTTGTTTAATAAAGCACCTAACACAGCAGCCGGTGCAGGTTTCAGTCTAGCAGGAAGCTCTGTGAGTTTGCTGAGAAATGCCTAGCCCACAAACGATTGAATGACCTTTTTGCAACAAATTAAATCAGAGATTTAATCCTTTGCCTCTGTGAGTTTAACAAACTGGAAAATTGTGGGAATGGGGGATTAAAGTTCACTTTCGAAACAATCAGGTTAATGCAAGAATTGCAGATTATGAAACCCTAGATTTATATGCAGTTTTTACCAAACTAAACAGAAATATGTTTTTTAGCGGGAAATAAATCTACATAAGTGCCAGCAATACAATGGAAGATATCACAAATGACAGTGATGGTAATGGGGTAAATACTGAAGATGTAGATAATTCAGCAGCAGCAAGCGCAGACAGTGTTGGATCATTGTTTACTTCACTGTCCATGAAGATGGGGTTTCTGGGTCGGCGGAGTGCACCTGTGCCCATCACCGAAACAAAAAAGCAAAAAAATAGGCAAGAAAATGCCTTTCTGACGTTTTTTCGTTCTTTAGATACAAGTAATCGATCTTACGGTAGCAAAAAGCAGTCTGTAGAAGCTGATTCTGATAGTGAATGGTTCAATGTCGATGCCGAGCATAAACTAGAAAAAGCCGAGGTGAGAAGTGAGGGCAAAGGAACAGAAATCGAAACGGCAGATGAACAGCTGACCACTAATGAAATCCAAATTCAACAAACTGAAAAGGGAGAGGAAGAAGCACATGCCCTCACTGAAGGTTCCTTGAAACCCTCTGCTCCCATTGACCAGCTAGAGAAAGACTTGGATGAAGACAAGGTCCAAGTGATATTTGTTCATACAACAAGCGACAATGAGTCAGATGATGACGTTGGGCTGCAGAAGAGCCAAATAGATGAAACTAAAGTTGCATTGGCAGGTAACGACCAGACTGCAGAACAAACAACACAAAATGATAATGAATCCAAGTTAAGTCCACACCAGGAAGATGCTATGATATCTGAAGCTGAAGAAACGAGAATGGATTTTGAACTCGGTTTGCTAGAAGAAGCTTCAACTCTAAAGGTGAAAAGTATCAAAGACCAAATGATAGATGAGTCTCATGATGACAGTAGTGAAAAAGAACAAGATACATCAGAGACTCTTGCTGAAGATGCAAAGGTATCTGTGTCTCCAAGCACTTCTCCCAGGACATCTCCCATCCTCGCTGGTCCTGCTCCACAGGAGAAAACCTTTCAACGGCCCGCTCTCTTCAGTGGGCTTCGTGTGGTAAAGAAAAGTTCTGCAGGTGAGGACAGGGAGACTGTTACAGAGATCAAACCAAAAGATACTGGGTTGGCTATGTTAAAACTGACCCAGCCAGGTCAGAAATCTGCTGCTAAACTCCTGTTGGAATCTATACCACAGAAAAAAGAAGATCGAAGAGTAGTTGAGCCAAAAAAAAATTCTGCGTTCCTAGAGCAGCTCAATCAGTTGATTTTTGATGAACCGAAAAGTAAGGAGCAAGTAAATGTTTCTGATGGAGCTGAGAGCAAGGAATCTCAAAGTGAGGATAACAAGGAAGATCCCTTGCCAGCAGTAGAACCCGCACCTTCCCAGACGGAGACGGCTTTGGAGAGTCTCAGATCGTTCTTTACTCAAAGAACTGTGAAAAAGGAACCAGCTAATTCACCAGACATAGAAACCCTAAGAAAGAACAAGCGACAAGAAAAGGAGTCACTGAGAGCAATTTTCCTAAAGCATTTTGAAGAAAAAAGCACCACCGAATCTTCTGATGTAAGATTAGTGTGTTCAAAGGTTATCCAACTTTTGCAGATTTTAAGTCATATCAGCGCTTTCGGATGTCCTCTCGGCGTGAAAGGCACTATACAAAAGTAATTTTGTATTTTGCATTGTATTAGTTTTCGACAGCTTCAAAACTACATTCTTAAAATAATGGCTTTTAGTAAGCAAAGCAGTGAGATATAATTTCAGTGAAAACAAAATTGTATTATTGTTGCTCACTGTTAACACATGTATAGCATTTAAAATGTGCTTTTAAAAACACCAAAAACTAGATAGCAGTTTAGATGGAAAATGTAATGTTAGATAATAACTAAAGGCAATGCTTTCAGGCGCCTAAATAGCAATATCACTTAAGCCATATTCACACTGTAAGATTAGAGTAGGTGTATCCAGGATGGTTTGCATTAAATATGTTCTTTAACTTTTATGCATGCCTCACACATAATTCAGTTCCCTTTATTGGATGGCAAAATCTCGTGACACTTGTTCTGTATTTATTATTCTTGCAGAAAATAAGAGGAAGCATTACATTAGCTATTCCCTTCAATCTAATGGGGACACACTTGCTTCCAAGAGTCTTCACATCGGTCTGGAAGTAGTAAATTCAGTGATTTGCTCTTGCATTGGAACCGCAATGATAGATTGGCTACAAACCTGATGTGAGCTTATACAGGTGTCCCTGGATTTTAGATAAGAGTAGATATTGGATATTTTGAATGTTACTGTGAATATTTCTTGTGTTATTTTAAAAGCTTCTCGAACTTACAAATGGCCACCTTTTGGGTTGTCAGGTGGCAGCTGATGTTACTTCCTACATGTTGCATTCTATGCTCAGGAAGTGCTGCTAAAGTTGCGAACATCTTGTCACTGAGGTTAGCAGCACTTATAGCCCATAGCACACTTTATGGTATATCTAGTGAAGCCCTTTGGATCGTCCTCCCGATGTGGAAGGCGCTGTATCAAATGAAAGGATTGTTATTATTGTTGATGATATAACACTCATACGCAGTGCATGGTTAAAAGTGGTGTCAGTACAACCCGATGATCTGGACGTTGACCATGTTACTGTGCTTCCCTTATAATGAGGTCTCAGAGTATTGGACCCAGAAGCTGCATTGTAATGAAGTTCCCTATATAATGTACATCAATTTGAGAGAAAAATTTAGAAATTAAAAAAAATCTGCAGTATAAATAGATTTATGAGGGTCCAGATTTAACAGAAATGGTGAGACACTGCTTCGAAAGGTTAGTCTTACACTAAAGTCCTCCACGACATGAAAGGCGCCATAGAAATGTATGTTGTATTGTAAAGCAGTCTGCTGTACTTGATCCAGCATTGCCAGAATTGGTAATCATAGTACACATGCATTTTGGAGAGTTGTTTTCATCCTGCATGTGTTTTGTATCCCTTTTTGCTTATTTCAGCCAGAGCAGTTATCTCCAACCCAGTCTGAAGATCGAACTCCAGGGCGACTCCAGGCTATCTGGCCACCTCCCAAACCGAGAGATGAGGAGGGAAAAGTGGGCCTAAAATACACTGAAGCAGGTAAGAAAGTTTGGTATGGTAACACCATGGAATCAGTGAACAAACAGTGAACAACTCATCCTTGCATCAGCTTATTCCTTGTGCATTTTAATCAAACTTTAAATCTTTTAAATGTTTTTAGCAACCGTGCCTTAAACTGTAATAGCCCAGCCTATGTTACACCTTCACCATCTGTAAAGCAGGTCTAATCAGTAAACATGTATGAGCAGTGTGCATGGTAGAGAGGTCCAATTGATTTAAAAGTTGTACACTGTAAATGGTGAGCAGATATAAAGCGTCTTCAGATGTTGTCTTACTCACTGGTTGCCTTTTAACTAAACTAAATTTTAGCTACTGCTCAGTGCTTGACCCATGAGAGCTTATGATAATATTTTAGAGGCCTGCACATTACAAAAACATGTTTTGTGTAATAGTGGCAAACATAGATGCTAGAATTTATATCTGGAAAGTTTTTGTTTGAGATGAATTGAACAAATCTTCATACTTAGTGAAAGTACCAGAGTCATATTAGGAAAGCTGCTGCTAATCCATGGCAGATAAGGGTATACTGTACATTATTAGGAGTTGGTTCATCCCAGGAGAGTAAAATGACATTGTAAGAGCATTCCAGAGAGGTGCTGCTTAACTTGTGAAGCTTTGTAACTGAGGTCTCACTTTGGACAACTGGTTCTTGATGGCATCATTCATTCTGGATTTCAACCTTTCTATATTATCCAACCAACTTGAAAATACTGTTGTGAAGAGATCAAAGTGATGGCTTTACATGACTCTTCTGCTGTAGCAAAATCCCCTGAAATGGTCCTAAAACCTGTTACCTCCCCCCTGAGGCCCTGCTTCTGTGTTCGGGTTCTGATCTGATGGATCTCAGAACCTTATTCTAGATGATAACTCTTCTCCTTCCACTGGTGTTGTCCATTTCTCACCAATCCCTGTCACTCATTCTATGATTCTTTACCTACATTACCAGCAAAGTAACTGAGTTAAAAATTCTTACTCTCTTTATCCATTCGGTTGTTGGAGGAGATTGCTTTGAGGTTTTGAATGGGAATGGTGACATTTCATGTCTGGGTGTGTTCCTCTTGTGGTTCTGCAGGTTCCTCTTGTTTTGTGAAGAGAGGAGAAAATTTTGGCACTTTGTTCAAACGTTAGCACTCCTTCAATCCTTCCATTCAGCCCTTGGCAAAATCTACCTTCTTGCAACTCTGCAAAACCGGCCTAGCACTGCACCAACCTCACCCGCAAGCCAGTACCACTCCCTCCGCTCTGCATGTCCTCCCTTTCTCCATCCTACCATTGGCAGCCAAACATTCAGCATTTCTGCTCTCTAGAATATCCCCCAAAACGATTCTACCTTGAACCCTCTCTCTCTGCTTTTAAAACCCTTTAAAAACCTCAGGTCAGCTAGCTACTTGTGCCTTTGCTCAGCTTCCTCCTAAGCTCTCCCATCTTGCACGCTTCTTGGGCTCTCATCTATCTCAGTACATTGCAGTCACTGGGGGCACAAAATCATCCCATCCAGCTCCTGTTAACCCTGCAGGCCAAAGCCCTAACAGGTTGGGTGGTCCTAGCTGGACTAGCAGCGGAAAGCTTGACAGACAATGATCTCAATGGCAAGTTATGCAGTTTTAGCTGGTTAGACTTCAGCAGTATGCCAACACACACTTTGGGGTCCCCATGTCTTGGCTCTTGCCAACTTGCACCTAAAACATTAACTACCTGCTTTTCCAACGAAAAGTCATAGATTAAACACAGTCTTAAAAAAAAGTATGCAAACATTGAACATGTGGTACTGTAGTACTGTATTAGACATAAACGTTGCCTATATCACAGCTAGTTGTTATTCAGATAATTTTACACTGAAGAATAAAATGCATATTTTATTGCACTGGAGTTGCAATACTCTGTTCTCCCCAGAGAAGACTTACCAAGATTAGTGATATTCATAGTTACTTTGGAGGGTCTGAACATAGCCAAATTGAGTCCAAGAGTTACATTTGCAAAGATCTGTTGAGGTTATACCAAAGATTATGTAATTTGAGCTGTGAAAGCTGCAGGCTCTAATAATTTCTGATTTAAAATGCAGAATACTCCTCTATTCTATCGGAAATTTGAGCATAGGTTCACTTTTCATCAGTTGCTCTATATGCCTCAGGAAAAAAATAATTCCACATTTTGGTAGCCTTTTACTATCTTTCAGAGGTTGTCGATGTCACATTGCTTGCTGCTGCTGGAAATGTGGAAAAGAAAACTACAAACATTCTTTTTTATCGTTAAAGTATTTTTATTGCTCTTCCTATACAGTATATTCCCAATCACTACAATAGTCCGTGACTAAAACCATAACGGTTTACCGAACAAATAGGTTCAGTTGAAATAGGCCTTAAGGGTGTCCAGAACAGATGAGATATGTAATTAATATTGTGTGGAAGATGGAGTGCGAAAATCTCCTGAGACATGCTGGGCTTCTTTTTGCTATTTTCTATCGACGTAAAAGTACTCCAGGGTCCTGGTACAATTATCTGATCCATTGCATTGCACCTCACCATGTCAAAACAGTGGGAGACAGCAATAATCAAACCAAAGAGGATGTTGGGCTATATTGCCAAATCAGTTCAGATGCCTCGATGTCATACTCCAGCTTTTTTTAAATACTCAGGCTATATAGTGCTCTGGTCAGGCCACACCTAGGCAACTGTGACATAAGAGGGCTGCCCCATCCCAGGAAGCAATGCAGAGAGCAATAAGGATCACCCGAGGATTGAAGAAATTAGCTATAAGCTCTTGAGTTACTGTTGGATTTATTAGAAATCCGAATTTATTCACTGTGCCAACTTATAATGCAGTTTATTTAAAGCGATTTCCTGCAATTCTTTGCAGCATGATCACTGTGAATAGTTCTGTATAAATTGGTGCAGGACGCTCCCAGTGCAAGTGGATTGTGGAATATTGACACGCATTAACTACAGATTCCCCAAGGTCATACACTTCTCAGGTTCTTTGCCTGACTTAGATAACTACTTTAACATGTTTATGAAGCACCAAGCTTTATTGTTATGTTATAACAGATATTACAAAGCTCATTGTAAAATGTGTTTAGGAATAATAATTCTAGCAAATCATTTGCAAATTCAGGAATGTGCTAAACTTCTTTGCAACAGTTATAAACATCACAAATGCTAGAACACAGTTTGGTTCTGTGAATTCGAGCAGTCCATCTTGTTCTTCTTTTCAGTCCTGTGATCTTTCAAAGACTTGCGAATGAAAGAACAATTTAGCACATACAATCTGTGTCTATCCATTAGTTAGTCTATTTCATTAATTGTTACATGCACCAAAACGTTTTAACGTTTTTCTAGTTGTAAATGATTGAACTGTAGTCAATAATAATGTATTTTTTAGTGAAAGGAGATTACTGTTACACAGCCTCAGCTAGTGGAATACATACCATTCAGACCCAAATATCAGATACTGCCAAGTTGATTTCTGCAAACTGTTCTTAAATAGACACAGTAATCTGATATTGGCTGACAGAACAAAGCTAATGTTTTTTTTTAAAAAAATTTTATCCTTGCATTTGATATAGCGCTTTTCACGTCGGGAGGACGTGCCAAAGCGCTTCACAGAACACACTGTAAAGTGAATTGACTGTATATTTGTGGGCGAACACGGCAGCCAATTGCGCACAGCAATGTCCCACAAACAGTCGTAGATTAAAAATGACCAATTTATTATTGTTCTTGGTTTTGGAGGGATTATTATTTGGCGTGTGGAGTAAGGAAACTTGCCCAAGGTTTCGCCCTGCCTGGAATTGAACTCAGGTCGCTCGCTTGCAAAGCCAGTGCTCTAACGACTGAGCTACAGGACTCCATGTTAGAACTAAGTTGCTGGATTTTAATGCCCAGAGATCTTTGGGACCTATTGACAAAGTGATTTTAAAAAAAAGATACGTTTGTGAAAAATTAAACATTCTTTTTAAGTATTTTTCCTTTGATGGCTCTTGTTTGATCAATACCTCCAAATCATGTCTATTCTGTGAAGGACTTTGAGACGTCGATAAGATGTGAAAAGCGCTATATCAAATGCAAGGATTATTATATTATTATCATCATTCAGTGATAGAAAATGCATGCTGGCAACCTTCTGTTAGGGTTCTGTCTGTGATATTTATAAACAGCCACTAGGAGGTGCATGAGAGCATCTTATATTGAGAATGTACTTATTTTGCTTATTCACTCATTTTGAGCAACGCGTCACCTCTGGGTATTTTCAGTTACTGCTACCTGTTGTAACAGATCAATAACAGTTCCTACATACAAAATCCTTACACTGTGATATAGAGTCTGTGGTGAAATATTATTTGCACATGATATCACTTGCATTTCCTATTTCAGCTTATCATGTCAAAACATCTGAAAGCATTTCACATGAGTTATATTGTTAAGTATTGCGATTTGTTGAGAAAATAAACTCAGCAGGTAATCTGCTCCAGCAACATTCCCTAAAATTAATTTGATTTTGGATAAATTTGGACGAGGGTGGAATTTTGTCAAGGACACTAGGAAAACAGGCAGGACCGAAGTTTAGACATTCATCTGTAGATCTGACAATGCATCACTCCTTCAGCCCTCAGGGGTGTACTGGAATCAATTCAGATCAGGAACTCAAATCCTAGCGTGGGTCTCAAACTGAATTGAACTCGTACCACAATCTTCTGTTGCAGAAGCAAGAATGCTACCAGCTACATCTGGTAAGGTGCACAGTTTAGCTGGTTACATTCCAACGAAGGGAAGTGGAGTGTATCCTTTCATAGAGAGCAATTCCTGACTCCAGAACTGGCAAATGCCTATGAATTCTTAGTGGTTGGACCTGGAATGGTAACTTATGTAAAGGCTTTGCATACGTGTGAACACCCGATTGACCCTGAAAAAAGCAGTAAAACTAGATACTACCAAGATGTTATACAAACAATAAATCAAGTACAGAAAGATTTTTGGGGGTAT